CCCCCCCCCCCGCCCCCCCCCCCCCCCCCCCCCCCCCCCCCCCCCAGACCCTGCGGGAGGAGGTGGCCCAGCTGAAGCTGGAGCTCCAGAAGTCCGAGACGGCCGCCACCACTCTCTGGGAGGAAATGAGTGGGAGCCAACGCCCCGACGCCCAGGAGAAGATCTGGCTGCGGCAGGAGGTGCTAAGGGTTGGGGGAGGGGGGGCGGGTTGCACCGGTCCTGGCTCTGGGGACCCTTGCTCTGGGGCTTAGGTTCTCGGGGTGCCCTCCTGTCTGGAACACAGGTGGGTGCCAGGCGAATCAAGAGGTCCAGGCAGTTCAAATGCTTATCAAAACGGATCGCCCGCTTAAGCTCCCTACAAGAATCTGGCCAACTAACAGTCGAGGCAAGTGAGCGGAAGATAAGAAAGGCATTCAAGTTGGGCTGGACTTAGATCTCTTGCGGGCACGGAGGGACTCGAGAATTATTTGGCGGCGTGACTACCTCTAGGAGACAACCCAGGAGCAACACACAGCACACGGAGACTTAGACATTAACAGTGGCTTAATATATGACAGGTATATACAGACAATGTACACGTGGTAGGCAAAATACCTTTACAAGTGAACTTTTCTTCTTCCTAACACACAGAGAACTTCTGCCCTGAGCACTGGCCCCAAGGAAAGAGAACCCCACCCTCTAATGGCTGCCTTTTATCTATGCACCACCTCTTAAAGGGGATCTTTACTCTCCAGCCTTAAAGGGAAATACCCATATACTCTGCTGGATCACTCTTGTTACATCAGCCAGACTTACATCAGCTTCACAGCATCGTGCAGCTACTCACTGCTGGTCAGTTTCTAAATCTTAATACCTTAGAAATTATGACCCCCCCTCCATTGGGCTCAGCCTGGTCATCTCCTACCCTATGGCTGTGGACTTCAACTCCCAGAATTCCTCAGCCAGCCTTCTGGGAGTTGAAGTCCACAGGTCGTAAGGGGGACATACCTGCCCACCTCTGGCCTGGAATCTCTTATCTAGATGTTCTGACCCGAACCTGGTTCCAAGGAAACAAACACGAAACAGAGGTAACAGCAAAACCTTCTAAGGATTCTTTACGAATTCCGTTCCTTCCTGGTTCAAAGGCTGTTTCGAACTCATTGTCTCTGATGAGAACGAGCCTTGCCAAGGTGGTGCAAGGCTGCCAAGAACACGAGATAAAGTTGCCAAGAAGCATTTCAAAGAGTTTCCAAAGGCAAACTAAGAGAGTCCGAACGTCCACAAGACTTGAGTGCAAAAACTTCTTTGCTTCCTGCACAGAACTCCCGATTCTCAGCTGGCTTTTATCTCTTAAGGGAGGGGCCATCACCTTGCAGCCTTACTCCCGAGTTGCCCGTGCTGCTGCAGCTTCTCTTTCCTTCGAGCAGCCCTGTGTGCATGCGCACAGGCTCCTCATGGTCCTCTTCCTCACTGCTGCCAGCCTCCACAACCTCCGAAGGCAGCACTCCACCCCCTGAGGGTCCTGGCCCCATCCCTGCCTCACACGCAGGCCCCTCACCTGAGTCCTCGCCCTCTGAGACCTCAGCCGTCCTCACCTGCTGCCGGCGAACCACAACACTAGAACGAGATGCTTGAACTACTACAGATTGTCTCGACTTGCAGCACTGAAAAAAAGTGACTGACGACCGTTTTGCACGTTGAAGCATTCGGACACTTGGCAAGTAACTCACATTTACGACGGTTGCAGTGTCCCGGAGTCACGTTTAGCGACCTTCTGACAAGCAGATAAAATGAATACAAAAGCCAGATTCACTGAACGACCCTGTGACTAAGTTAGGGGATTCACTGAGCAACGGTGGCAAGAAAGGTCGTGACAGCGAAACAACCGCCTCGCTTAGGAACCGAAATTTGGGGCTTCCATTTGTGTTGACACCCTGCCCTGGGACACCGCAAGCGTCATCAATTCAGGCCAGGTGCCCAGCATTCGAATTTTGACCTCATGTCCACGGGGTGCGACAAAGGCCGTATGTGTGAAAACGGGTCGTAAGTTTCTTTGGTGCCATTGTAACTTCAGGGGTCCCCAAACTTGGCCCCTTTTAAGACGGGTGGACTTCAACTCCCAGAATTCTCCAGCCAGCAGAGCTGAAGTCCACCCGTCTTAAAGGGGCCAAGTTTGGAGGCCGCTGCTTCAGACGGTCATTGAACAAATGCTATAAATTCTGCCAACGTGGAATCTCTTTCCTGTGCAAACAGCTTGACCGCCTGCTAAATCGCGGTCAGTACCAACCACAAGTCCTTCCAGGCTCGCGGAGCAGAGCGGGCACTCTGCGCATGCCCAGGTGCCCCCTCTCTCCAGGCTCACGGCCGCTTCTCACCCCCCCCCCCCCCCACAGGTTGGGAAATTAAGGGAGCTGCTTCTGCAGAAAGACAACGAGCACACAAAGGTCCTGACCGGCCACGTGAAGCAGGTAAGTGTGGCCTGGGGTCCCCCCCCCCACCTCTGGGCCAACCTTCGGCTCCCGCCCTGACTGCCCCCTCTGGGGGTTGTGCCCACAGGTGAGGGGCCTGGAGGAGCGGCTGTGCCAGGCCCAGCACCGGCTGCAGCGCCAGCAAAAGGTGGAGGCGGACCTGAAGCAGGTGAGTGTCCTGGGGGCAGGCGGACATCCAGCCGAGCAGCAGCCTGACCCTGGTTTTATTCCGAGAAGGGCCGGAAGGAGCAATTGGTTTGGGGACAAATGTTGAGGTCTCTAGCCCGGGTTCCAATCCATTGGGACGCCTAAGGGGCTAGTCCTCTTGTTTTGAGCGGAGTTGGCACCTACCCAGTAAATTAAAAGCTCCATGTAGGGCAGGGATATCCAACCGTGGCCACTTTTGAGAGTTGTGGACTTCAACTCCCTGAATTCCCCAGCCAGCATGCTTTAAGGCCTCTCACTCTGCAAACGCCACTCTCTTCTAGCACTGATGATGTTCCCTAGTTGGGTCATGAAACGTCTGCAAGTAAACGACCAAAGCTCAGAGAGCCCCAAGGACCCACAGTCCTTTTCTTCTTCTTCTTCTTCTTCTTCTTCTTCTTCTTCTTCTTCTTCTT